TATTTTTCATTGTGTATCGAGCGTGCCTTTGAATATCCAACCACGTCAAAGCACATGCAAAATAATAGTGTGTCGCTTTAGCTCATCGTGCGTGGATCAAAAAGAGAATAAAAATCTGCGTGCGTTGGTAGTTGTGTTGAAGAAAAGGAGAGAGAAAAGCGACTTTTAAAATTTATGCCACGGATGGCGTGCGTGGCCGCCCGATTTTTCCCTACGTACACATTATTATATATACGCGCGTTATTTTCCTCTCGCATGCTTACAACAAAAGCAGCCTTAGTCGGTTCTTCTTTTAATAAAATATCTGTGGCGGCAGAAGCGAAAAAAGCTCTGGTCGGATTTGAATTTATTCGCAGCCACAGACAATAAAAAGAGAAAGAGAGTTTTTCGGCCGAATATAAAAATTATTTGATCCTCTCGGATGAATTATTGCTCGCAAATTTTCCGTGCGTTTTTCCCTTTCGTGTCTTTGTTCGTATATATGCGTGCAGCTTTTTGTACATTTTTATCCTAACGGGCGACAAAGAGCCCATGTGTATCGTTTTCCCTCTCTCTCGGTGTATTTCCGCAACGCCGAGCACTTTATTGTTCTTTAAGCACACACGCTGTGCAAAATATTGGAAATATTGCCCGAGACGCGGATGAAAAAAAAAAGAAATCGCGAACAAAAAAGAGCAGTGTATATTTCTCGCATGCGTTCCTCCACTGCAGCACATTACAATGGATATTGAGAGGGAGGCTCTTTCGCGATCTCTCCCGAGATGCAGCTCCGACGCTTTTCCATATTTATATATTGTTGATACTTCTCGGGCACACGATGATCCCCCCACACACAAGCAAAAAACGGCTGCTTATTTTCTTGTTTTCTGCCATAGCGCAGGAGGAAAAAAGCAACCGTGTGCGATTTTATTGGATCTTTGGGAGCAGCACCCAGCGTTTGTAAATTTAGTTTTATTGCCGTACGTGTATTAAATTTTATTGAATCTTCAGTTTTGATCTGACGCTTTATTGAAAAACGTGAGTCTCGTTTCACATCAAAGAAAAAACTCAATTTATTTTCAGAAACTCTCCATCCATCTATTACATAATGCAATTTTGTTCATTAGTAGAATAATAAGATGGAACATGATTATTATTATTAATATTTTTTTTTCAAATTGAAAGAAATTATAAAATATTATTTATTATTATTTAGATAACTTTATAAAATCTACAAGAAACAACTGAAAAGACATTAAATAAAAACATTAAAAAATTGTACATTATTTCAAATATAATTTTATTGTCCATGAAGTTTGCAGGAGCCAATTTTTTTCGATATATTATTCGCCTCAGCTCTTCCCTCGCCTGGGGTATAACGAACGGGCTTTGAAGCTGCAAGTGTAGCGAGTTGTATACATTAGGATCAAGGGGGGACAATCCGCTCTATCTGCGCGTGAAAAGGGTTGTTCGACGAGGTGCACCAAGAGAGGGACCATTGGCATGATTGGTGCCTCGGCTGGGGTGTCACTCGGCCCGATAATAATAAAAGCTCAACAAGACGATTTATTGGGGACGCGTTGAATAAATTCGGGACTGAGAGAGCGGTGAAGCATGAAAAGTGGCGGCCCTCCCAAAAATAAAAAGCAGGATGCACTTGGAGATAACGACATCGTCGACGAGAAGCGACTCAATTGCCGGGGCGCACAACGACGGGCAATAAGGAGCATGAAGAGCAGCTTAATTTATTAGTTGGCACGATCGAAATCGCCGCTCGCTTGGTCCGTCGGACCTGCGATCGTTTTCCCACACACACATTCTCGCACACGTCAAATTGCGATCGTTGAGCGTAATGATGTTGATTTTTCTTGCGCGGGGAACGAGGGAAAGAAACGGGTCTGCAATTGGGTCTTAATCTATTACAAGCTGAAACGACTTGTTTTGACAAATGGGCTTGCAATCAAACGTTTGAAAAAGTGACAAATGAATTACTAGATGAGCGTTTCCGAGTGAATTTGAAGGGCGATTGGACGATTTTGGACTAGACAGAACCTGTGTATGATTTTTATGCATGTTTGAGAGGGTGCCAAGGGGTGTCCACACACAAATTTTCAGACCTCTAAAAAGGGGCGTTACCCAAAATTTCGGGACTTGAAAAATGGGCAAAAATTATTTTGGATTTGCTATAACTTTGGAACGGATAAAGTTATATTGACGTTCTCAACTGTTCCTGACGTAACTTTTTACGCTGAACAACTTTGCTGTTGACATCAAAGTTGTATTGTTAAGGGAAATGTCACTTTCAGGTGACCTCTGACCAAAATGTCAAATTTTGACAGGGAACGCCCCCTTCGATTTTTTTCCAGGTATAGGAAAAAATGTAGCCCATGAAATTTTACATCACATATGTCAAAATTAGAACAAGGTTATTTTTTGTTTTCGAGTAATTAATCGTTGAATAAGAAAAAACGCGTCCGAAGAGGGTCGAAAATTTAGAGGTAAATTAAAGAATTAACAAAAACGTAACTAAATCAAGTCAGCAATGTTCCATTGTATCATAAATATTCAAGTTAGGCAAAAGCAACATACACGACACGATTTTTTACAGTTTCCTTCGATTTTTGAAATAACCTCAAAATTTTCGACCCTCCTCGGACGCGTTTTTTCTTATTCAACGATTAATTACTCGAAAACAAAAAATAACCTTGTTCTAATTTTGACATATGTGATGTAAAATTTCATGGGCTACATTTTTTCCTATACCTGGAAAAAAATCGAAGGGGGCGTTCCCTGTCAAAATTTGACATTTTGGTCAGAGGTCACCTGAAAGTGACATTTTCCTTAACAATACAACTTTGGTGTCAACAGCAAAGTTGATCAGCGTAAAAAGTTACGTCAGGAACAGTTGAGAACGTCAATATAACTTTATCCGTTCAAAAGTTATAGCAAATCCAAAATAATTTTTGCCCATTTTTCAAGTCCCGAAATTTTGGGTAACGCCCCTTTTTAGAGGTCTGAAAATTTGTGTGTGGACACCCCTGGGCACCCTCTCAAACATGTATAAAAATCATACACAGGTTCTGCCTAGTCCAAAATCGTCCAATCGCCCTTCAAATTCACTCGGAAACGCTCAGATATTTATTTGTTCGAAGGACAGTTTTAAAAATAGCAAACATTAGTTGATAAGTCCATCAATTTTGTATATAATTAAAATTCAGTTTAATATTTTCTTATTTTGTTATTTAAAAATAAAAAGTAAGACGCAAATTTTTTATGAAAAAAGCGTTGCACATATTTTATCTTGTTCTGATTGCAATATACTTATTTTTTATTAACTATTACCACAATTTCATAAAAGCCAACTGCTTGAACTTTTTTATTGCATCTAGAATAATTATAATCACCAATATCATTCAACAATTGTGATGAAATCGTGATTGTTGTGCAATCGAGCGCGTCATCTGCGTGAGACGGGCTGCCTACTCAACACTTCTGCTGCTGATTCGTTGAAATCACAAATCGATGCAAATTTCTTTCCTCTCTGCGCCACGTGACGGAGCGTTCTCATGGCAATACAATACCGACGTGGTGGTGTTAGCAAAGAGTGGCAAGAACAACAGAACAAATCAACAAAAGAGGAAAAAGTATTCTTTTCCTTCAAGACCATCTGTCTTCCTCTCACTCAGAACAGATTTTCAGTCCACGTACCAGATGTAAAAAAAGGAATAACCCTGCCGCACATTTGAATATCTTACTTACCTTGATTTATCCCCAAGACACCCATTTTTACATCAATCATCAAATTGTGTTTAAAGAGAGTTGAAAGGTTTTATAAAATTGGATCTTGTCATTCAACAGCTTATCAAGTCAAGCTTTAATTTTAAAATAAGTTATCATCTGAAAATTTGAAGAAATTTAAAATTTATTATATTTTTTTTAAGCAGGAATTCATAATTGCATACTCCCCCCCCCCCCAAACAATTAAATGTTAAAATTAATATTGGAAATTTTTGTATTAATTAATTATTTAATATTATTACTGAAATGAAAATCTCTTGGCATTCTTTTAAGATCTCAAAATTTCTCTCTTGGTAATTAAAATCCAATATCAGAGACTGAGGGCACTCGTGCTGAAACTAATCGGCTTATTTGAGCACTTTTCGATTCACCGACTGAACAGCTCACTTGCTCCAATAAATTAATCTCTGCAACTCTGTCTCTATCTGTGATGGTTCCAAATCCCCAGTCTCTCTTCGTGCGCAATTTCCAAAATTAAAAAGCGTCCTCGCCCGCAAAATCCAGCATTAATTTTTAATCCGAGCGTGGCGCGCTGCAACCTTTGTGTTTTGCGATTTGGTGGCGGCGGCGGCCACCGACGAGCTGAGGGAGAGAAACACGAGAAGCGTTTCAGCGGGATGTGCGTTAAATTGGTCGATAGCCGTGCTGCTGGCCTGGCCGCCGTATCAGGCGCGGTCACGGCGGTTTTCGTCCGCTCTCCATTTTCCAAAGGGCTGCCATCTGCCTCAAGACCGGCACGTTCCACCGTGTCCAGCGAGATATTGGCGAAAACGCCACTCGCCCTTCATGTGACAGCCAGCACATAATAATTCCGCCGGTGCGGTTTTTCGCCCCATCCTTGCGGCACGGCGTCAAACCCCATAGTTCTTGTCTTGGTCAAAAGTAATCACAGCTAAGGAACACCTGTAATAATTTAAATTTTGTACCAAATTGTTCAGAATCATAATCATTGATTGAAAATTCTTTATAATTAGGCAAAATAAATAAAAAAATCTAATTAAATCCATCAGTTTAAATAAACACATTCTTGAAGTCATAATTGAAATTTAGTTTCTTTTTGTTTGATCTAGAGGAAATATAATATTGTTGGTGTTATCAACGCTGCGATATGCAAGAACGTTAATCAATTCCATTATCAAATTTGATTTATTTCCAGCATTTTGTTATCAAATATCACCCGTGAAGGCAGCAGAGAAAAACATTTAGTTTCACTACGTTTTTCAACCATATAATTCAAACAACATATTCTCTAGAATTTTCATTTTTGATTTCGCTGCAATTTGCGATATGGCTAAAGTTTTCAACACCCTTTCAGTGCTCATTTTACTAGCAATTGCACCAGGTATAATATTGTTATTTCCTTAATTATTTATTTTAAAACATTTATGCAGTTTCTTCAGGTCTGCAAACTCTGGATTGTAAAGATTTTTTCAACAAATGCTTTGCATGCTATGAGGATCAAATTTGTTATTGCTCGTCACTAGATAAGAGAGTAAATTTGGATTGCAATAAACTTAAAGGAAGCTCAATCGGTTACCTTGAAATTTTGCAGCACGATGGTAATAAGCTTTGATTTTATTTTGCCAGTCGTAATTTTATTATTGTTTTCCGATGTATATATTTTTTAGGCTCGGGATTACGCTGCCCATTGAAAAATGTCGTTGTGAATAAAACGATATGCTTGGAGGCCACAGCAAGTTGTAAAAACACTACCGATGTCACGATTTCATATGAAAATACCAGCAGTGCATTTAATTTGGCTAGTTGTCCACAAACTTCAGTTTTTCCTTCATTTAAGTCAACCCTTCAGGATGCTGTAGGTAGTTTGGATTTGGGTCAATTATGCCATTACTTTTTAAGAATATATAAAAGGTATTCAAAACGCAATGAAACTATGCAAAATCAATTAACAAATTCTTGCGTTGATGCACTCGAGCAGATTAAAAGTTTTCGATCTAATCTTATTGCTATGATAGACAAATATGAATGCAGTTCTGGGAAAAAAGAATGTAATTGCGAAAACGGTAACTCTATGTTGAAGCATTCTGAATTATTTATTATGTGTTTTGTCTTTGTAATGGTGACAGTGCTGGCTATCTTAGATGGTTTCCAAACGAGAAAGCTAAAGAAAATTTCAAATGCTATTCAAAATATTGTCAAAGAGATCAATCGCAATGATTTTGTAGCAAAGAAATCTCAGGATGTGAATCTCGAGGAAACATCGTTCAACGCAGAATGTAATGATATAGAATTGTATGAAACTGTAAAGACTACTGATGAAAACAATGAGTCAAATGGCCAAAAAGAGGTTTATGACTATCTTTATACTCGTGGACGCTACTGCGCTCAAAGTAGCAACGAAGAATATGTTAATATTTAAATATTTACATTATTTCATGCCTAATTATTATGTCATAACTTTGTGTTTAATTAATATTCTAATTTTTAGCTGATATGATAGATAATATTTTCAAATTTAAATACCATTAAGTTAAAATTTTCGTGTTGATTCCATGATTGCTCAGTTAAATTTTCAATAATTTGTTGAACAATGTATATTACATAATTATAGCTACAATTATTCTGGATATAATAAGAAATATTTTCTATTTCAATATCTTATGTACATGGCGATTACGCAATTTAAATCATTCATTTACCTACCCAAATTTATTGTTAGAATTAATTTTAATTAAATCCATAGCGAATAATAAATATAGGTTGCATATTTTTAATATGTTAAGAATTTGATGATGTAAGCTTTATAATATCATATTCCAATTTTACAAATTTTAAAAGTGATCTCATCTTGTCCTGAAGATAGACATAATTTTCAAGATAAATTAAAATAAAAATATCTCTGTTATAATGCTTTGACATTTATTGTTTCAATTTTTTTTTGACCATCATAATTACTTGCAAATTCTATAACGGATTTGTTTTTATTCTTCAAGTTTAGCATTTACCAGGGCGCATTCGCATCTCGTTTATACAAATGAAAGGAAAGCTGACGCGTGATTCGATTTATTACTTGGTTTTCAACTGCTCGCAACTCTCGGCCCGTCACGAGCACTGTGAGGAAATTTATATTCCGTATTAAGCAGTTTCCTGCCATGTAACTGGAAATAACCGGCCCTCGCGTACCGTTTTGCGCGGCTTGGCCCACTTTGCTTTTTTCTAGCGAGCACTGGTGCTGCGATAGATTGATTATTCCTGGGTTGGATCCGCGGCCCGAAGCGATACATCAGACAGGGCTCTGTTTGGCGGAAGACTTATAAGGAGGCGTCCATTTATCAGCCGCCGCATGTAAATCATCGACGACGATAAACGCTTAATTCCGAATATATAAATAAACGCGCACAAAGCCACTCGAAACGAAATAAATGGTGTAAAGGAAAATGCGCGTCGGCATTCGGAATTTCCTACTCGGCGGTCAGACGTGTTGTTGCCAGATGTGATTAAATAGACCGAATCACGAAACATGCTAACAGACCAGGAAAATGAACTAATTCCACCAGTTTATTTCAATCCAAATGAAATTAAACTGCGGGCCGGAAATAATGACGACAGCACGTTATTCCGATAGAATTCTTTTCGCTTCAATTTTAGAATTCATTTCATTTTATTTTAATTTTCATAAATAGGGGACAAATGAGAAAAAAATTATGTTTAAGTAAAAAATTAAAATTAAAAATAAAAAAAATAAAAACCTACAAACAAATTCTACCATATTTAAAATTACACAATAATTTAACAACTTAATGCGCCCAACGACCAAAAAATTTCTAACTAACAATTTACAAAAGTAGTTAGTTCCGGAAAACTTTAAAGAAGTTGAGTTGCCGGACGTGAGACTCATTTAAAATTGAGAGCGCAAAGTTCAGTATCGAACCTGGCGCCGTCAAAAGCAATTTTTATCATGAAGTGTCGTGAGTTTCTCCCTTAATAACATTTGAAAAAGAGTGTGGGCACATATTCTCTCGCTTGCCACACAAAGCGGCAGGAAATAGGACCATGTAATAGTTTGGGGTTTGAAGTCTGCATTGCTTTGTGTCACGCACAGGCAACTACTTCTATCAAATATATACGTTCATGCATAACTCTTTCTTCCTCCAATCGTGTCTCGCGGTGCGCGAAATGGCTTCGGAGCCGCGTTTTAGGCAAATCACATTATTGTTCGGGAACGCGTGGTCGCCCTGATTGTGTTGCCGCCGCAGCTGTTGCGGGTGTGTAATTAAAATTTGGCCATTAGAGTGATTAAAACGTGTGGGAGGGTGCTAGAGGGACGTACAAGAGCTATTTGATTGGAACCGAATTGGGCCGTGAAGAGCTTTTCCGAATTTTGGTCACACACTCGGCAAACCGACGAGGCTCTTTGAAAACGCGATTTTGATGGAAAACCTATAATTTAGCGGTTGATTGAAATGTAATTCATTTTGGAATCGGCATCGGACTTTTGCATTTGAAATTCCGAAATATCAATCACAACCTCTGTAATGGAAATTAATTAATTATTAATATTAATTGAATTTAAGCTTATGCTGATTTATGTACCTAATATATTTTGTTCATCGTTCTGAAATGAAATTGCAAACAGGATAATTTGAAATTTTCAATTAGTTTTTAATTCGTTCAACAATTTTCAAACCGAAATGTTATTATAGCATTTCTTATTTTTCAGACAGTTTTATATAGGATTCATGCATTTTTTACATCATTTTTATATGAAATTAAAATGAAAACTATTTTATTGAAAGTTGATGAATTAAATTATCTAGAAAAATAAAAATTAGTTTTATTTGTTATTATACTAAAATATCAGATGTTATAAAAATAATTCAGAATCTATTTGCTGATTATATAATACATATATTATCCTCCTTTCGCTCTTATTCAGAGACTGATCGATTTCGGGCTCACTCTCTACATTATTATGCGCTGCCATAAATATAAATAAAATGACGTGATGTCAGAAAAGAGGCAGTCGGTCGCAAGGAAATGTGTATTATTGCTAAGCTATTTGGCCTAAAAGGCATTCCTGCTATATCCGAGTGCGTTGCTCACTGCAGCATTTCCCCAGACTTATACTTCTCAAGGCTGCTTTTCCAACATTATATCTTATATCTATATATGTCACAATATAATGGAGTTGAATATAGGTGCTGGGAAATAAAGAGGCTTTGGTATAGGTATAGAGACTGATTCCAGCTCGCAATAGTTGCCATTGAATGAGCGTCGCGAATTATGGATTTTACGCCGTAAAGTTTTTTTATTGATTAGAACCTGAAAGGTTTTTTGAGTGAATTAAATTAAGGTCTGTTTAAATAAAAAAGATACAATGCTTGCGAAGTGTTAAATTTGTTTATTTATAACATTCTACATCTATTACAGATATTAGCGACACAACTTGAACTAAACTTTTACCTAAAAAAAGAAACACGAGCTTAAAGAGTTTGCAATGTCTGTAAAAAGATGCTACTGTATCATTATAAAATTGCGTAATATAATATAATGTTATTCTAATTTTTAAAACAGTTTAAAGAACTGAATTGCAAATTACTCAAAATGTAATCTTTTTATAATTGCTATTTGTCACAGTCATAATTAAATAAAAAAATTAAATAGCAATATTAAATTTGCAAATAAATCATTTCGCTAATAATATTACCAATTTGGATACATCACTGCTTCAAACCATACTTTTATTTAACGTTTCTCCAACATTTCCTTTTTTTTTCCAAATCACGTTTGGTGAGAGGCGGTGTGTGTGTGTGTGTTGGTATGCGTTTGAGAGACCACGCGTCACTCGACACTGAAGAAAAAGGTGTCAGACTAAAAGGGGGTTCCTTTTCTTTTTTGTTTCCATTGAGTACAAATTTGTGCCAGCGGACTCTTTCTTCAGCAACCCCCGGCGTTCGGCGTGATTTCACCCACCACGCATAATGAGAGAGGAGCGGTGGGAGTCACCACTCCTGTTCAAGGGTCGCGTGCATCGATCGATATAATATCAATTTCGAACGAACACACTCACTCCAAAGAAGGCCATTTCCTTGGCGATAAAAGCAAATTGGCCGCGTTTCGCGCGCAATCAGTGCATCTCTCGCAGCGACTAATGACTTTCCCTTAACTCAATTTCACCCCACACTCGAGGTTGACTTACGGGCCAGTTGGTTTATTTGCTTTCGCATGTCGGACTCGACTGGGGTAGGCAGAGTGCTAATTTATGCGTTAGATATTATATAGTAATAAATAGCTGCTGGGGGCTTGTTGAAAATTTAATTAGCCGCTGCACTACCGCCCACGGGCAAACACGCCAACGTTTTTTCCTAACTCATAAAAAATTCATGTGCTCTCTCACCAAGAATAATGCATTTGCAAGCGGGATGGGAAAAATAAACAACCTTCCAAAAAACAAACCCCCGTGGCTTCAAAAATATTGTGTTTCCAGTGAGATCCAATTTTTTTGTTTGTTTCCTAATTCAATAAAAATTTTAATCATTTCCTTGTTTACTAATGCTCTGATACTTTTTGTTCCAGGTATGCAAACATGAATGCTGTTCAAAGCGTGGAAAATTAATTGCGCTCCATTATCCAGGAAAATGGTTTGTTTTTAAATTTCCTATTTACCTTCAGTAAACAGTCACTTTTTTGAATGAGTTGGTTCCAGGAAAAAAATTCATAAATATTTACTTATTTGCAAATTAGTGCATGACGGTTATTGATATTTTTCTTACAATTAGTTTTCCGATTGCTAAAAATCCGATCAAAAATATTTCCAATTTGGAGCGCTATATAAATATTGTCATATATCTTATTCTTTTATCAGAAGAAAACACAAATTTTCTTTGAATTAAATTAACGAAATGGAGGAATGTGTTGCTTCAATGAGTGACATATTTATTCTAAACCTCTTGATGTAAACGAAACAGCCCTCAAGACAAACGGAAGCTCTAGAGAGCTCTACAGGAAATGATATCTGGCCAAACAATAGAGCAGTTTTGCAGAACGTCAAAAAGACACCAGTGGCGAAACCTTCGTCTGACAATTGTATGACTCATTGATGAGAGATTCTCATTGGAAACTAAACAAAGGCAGAACCTCTTTTTTTTAATTTTTAATTTATTTTTAATTCTACAGCAGAATTTAATAAAACCTTTTTATCACTTTTCTCAATTCAAAATGTTTTTCATGAGATTGGATCTTCATGTAACCCAATTTAAATTTGGTATCGTGAATTTATTCAAAATTAAATAAAAAAATCATAAACGCTGTGAAGGGAAAATTTTTAAGTATTTATAAAAAAATCTTGCTAGTGGCGGTGCTTTTTTGTCCAACAATTCCCTTTTTTTCTCAAATAAATGTTTTCAACAATTTTATGTCAATAATGTGATGTAACAATTTGGACAAATAAACAACAATAGTTTCAAAACCAATCATTCAAGAGTACAAAAGCACGCTTCAATTAAATTTTAAATAAAAAAGCTATAAGCGTACCTCAATTTAATCAACGAAAGAAACAGAGAAGCTTTTACGCGGAAAAAGCAATAAATATCGAGAGAAAACCAATTAAAAAATTCCATTTGCGCCGTCCGTGAAGCGACTCTTGGCTGCATCCCAGACTCGCAATTTTCCGATTCAGGAGGCGAAA